TTCTGACAGGATCACCACGCATTACCCTAAGGAACTCTGCTCCCACAGAGATCCGGAACTTCTGTTGGGGAAGGACATGGGCAGGCCTTTAGGTAGCAGCAAGACCAAGACAGGCAGAATGAAAGGTTAAGCCTAGGCTGTAGAGCGGCTGATTCATTACTGTCCCCTAATAGTTCTGGTCTTAAACGGTCCCATATATCCAAGTCATTTAGTTTCGTTTGTAGGTCTCTAGGGGAGAGACAAAGTCTTGACCTTGATTCTATACATCACTGGCTACTCAGTTTTCATTATGAGGTTTTACTTTGTTTCTCTTCCATGAAATACATTTTTTTCCCTCCTTGACCAATTACTCTTTAAGGTTAAGGACTTTGTACAATAATTCTGCCAAACCTCTTTTGCAGCAGGATACAAGCTAAATTCGGTGCTAAAAGTTCTGATTATGCTGGCCAGGATGTACTGTAAACACACACACACACACACACACACACACACACACACACACACACACACCACACCATACCACACACCTCTTTGGATGTTGGCATGCATGTTTTTATGTTCTTGATGCTTTTTTTTATATGAAGCACTCACCAAAGACAGAGAAAATCTAGGATCCACACCTTCTTCCAAATAAATTCTATTTGAAGAGACTACATTAGATTTGAAGAGGGGCTTCTATTGAAAAACTACTGCTGGGAATAGCACCCCCAGACTCATCTCCTGTCTCCCAGAGGCCAGTCAGCAGGGTCTTCCTACTGTTGCTTCTGTCACAAGAATTACACATCACACCGTCTAGTCCTCTGTTCTCTCTACCCAACTGTGAACTTCCTAAGTGCCAGAAACAAATGTTGCTCGATACTACATCCCAGCATCGACTGTGGGGCCTGGCACACAATAGGCACTTAGTAAATGTTTACTGAATATAAACAGGAGCACACAAGAGGTTTCTGGGCCAGGAATTGTCCAGCAGATTCAAAGTTCAGCTAGTAAAAAGCACGTGAGAAGAACAGAAGGGCTGCGTGCAGTCACGGCACGTTCCCAGCAAACTTCTAGATCAACAAGAAAACGACGTTGGGAGCCCCTGAGGAGGAGCAGTCGGGAGATAAGGTAAGCCAGGTCCCGTGACTACAGCCTTAGACCCTTAGGTTTAGGGAGGACATTGCTCCCAGGGAGCTAATTATGGACAGCTCACATGTACTATAGTAGATAACCATCACTGATTGTCACAGATTATCTCTTTTCACCTGTCCAGTGCCCCTGGGGGAAAGACTGATGATCACCTTGACAGGTGTGACTCTGGTGCCTCAATCCTTGGGGACTCCAGAACAGTAAGACAAAAAGCATTTCACAAAACCACACACTCTCGGGGTTCATGGAGGTCTTCAATCTCACACTTCTTCCTTCCCTCAAGAGACGCTCAAAGTCCTACAGCACTCAACACCTCAACAATCTTCCTGCTTGCCTCTCATGCTAGAGGACTCAGTACCTGTTCAGCTGGCCTGCCCAATTCTTAAGCAACCAATTACATTTTTTTTTTCCTGAGACAGGGCTTCTCTGTGTAACAGCCCTGGCTGCCCTGGAACTCACTTTGTAGATCAGGCTGGCCTTGAACTCACAGAGATCCTCCTACCTCTGCCTCCCGAGTGCTGGGATTAAAGGCATGTGCCACCACACCTGGCTGCTAATTACGTTTTGGTTTTTTTTGTTTGGTTGGTTTTTGTTTTTGTTTTTTTAACTTACTTTCTTAAAGATTTCTGATTTCTACCCATCAACCCCACATCTTTCCCTCCTATCTACTCATGGCCAAACTAGTCTCAAGCACATGATACAGCCCCCGCTATCTGAAGGCAGCCATCACCCTCTCCCCACTGGGGTTTAGAAAGACATTGCACAGGCTGCTCAATGGGAAATGTAGTGCATTCAGGTTAGCAAATGTTTTTTGTAGATAACAGGAATCAGAGAGAGACCAGGCCCTATCTTGTTGCCAAAAAGGAGGTTCCTGGGATAAGGGACAGGAAGAAAGGGATGATATACCACAAAATGGTTGATAATGCACAGAAAGTTTAACATTCTTCACGGGAACCATTAATAAGGGCAGAAGCATTTTCTGAGACCAACCAATTTTTGTTTTACAAAGGAACATCGAGAAGCTCAGAGGTGAGAGTACCTCCTTTTGACGCTTTGATAATGATCACGCCGTCAGAGCGCCTTCTAAATATTTGTGTTTATGCCCATAGATTAGTGCTGCTCCCAACCTTGGTCAGAGACGCTCCTTGGTGCAGTGGGCAGCAGTCAATGCAGAGACTCCTAACTGGTCGGTGCTGGGAGTGAGTGACAGTTGGGCACTCAGCCCTAGCTGGGACATTTCATATCACCACCATCCAGACTCATGGGATAGAGTGGAAGAGGAAGCAGAAAAGATATAAGAGCCAGGCTGGGGAGAACTGCGATGAGATGCTGTCTTCTGGACATGACAGGACTGTAGCACTCAGGAACCCACAGACAGAAGTTGTGATGGCCCGCACAAAATCTAGTCAGTCAACATTCCATCACCTACCAACGGGGGTGGGTTCATGAGGCTCCACCCCCAGGTGAGGAGCTATTGGCAGCTGATGGCTTGTAGGAAAGCGGGAATCTCTTTTCTTCCTTCTGGACCTGGTAGGCTGCCCAGACTCTGGTAGATGACCCCATACTCATTTGCATGCAGGCAGCCCTTTACTGGACTCAGTCGGCTTTATAAAAAAAATTTTAAGAGGAAAATAAAAGAAAAAAGAAGACATGAAGGTACAAAAGGGGGAGTATTATTGGAAGTTATCGGAGAATAGGGGAGGGAGGATTTGGGTCCAATGTGATCAAGATACGTCATATACGTGTATGAAATTGCTGATGAGTCACGCCTTTAATCCCAGCACTCGGGAGGCAGAGGCAGGTGGATCTTTGTGAGTTCGAGGCCAGCCTGGTCTACAGAGCGAGATCCAGGAAAGGCACAAAGCTACACAGAGAAACCCTGTCTCGAAAAACCAAAAAAAAAAAAAGAAATTGCTGATGAGTAAATAAACACAACCAAGGAGCAGCAGAAGGGTGGCAGCAGCACAAGGTGAAGCTGCAAAAGGATCCCAGCTGTTAAGTGTCAGGGCCTCAATTAGAGAAGTCTTTGAACCTCAGCCCAGTCCTCTTTGCATGGCAGGGCTCCAAAACGGGACAGCAGCAGCCTCCCTGTGGTTTCAGAACACCACCATAATAACAGCACCACCACACAGCATCACTTTCACTACACTGCAAAGAGTGAAGGGAAGAAACGCCTCATTAGTCATTAGCCCTGTTTTACAGAGGTTGACCCTGAAGGACTGAAAGGCACAGGGATTTGCTCCCGTTCCCTGGAAAATGCCCGATTCTTGGAACTCAAAGCTCACTTAAGACCACCCTGTTGAAAAGAGCCAGGGAATATCTTAATCCAGAAACAGATTCCCTAACTAAAGGAAGGGAGCTGCCTCTGACTGCTGTTCAGCTTTGAGCTCTTTAAGAGGGGGCATCCTCCCTAACCCCCAGAGTGAGCTCCAGCTTCCCCACCTCTAAAACAGAGACAAGTAAATTTTGCACTTTAGTTAACAGGATGCCCTGAGGCTCAAATGTAAAAGAGCAAAATGGGGGCAGAGGCTCACTCCCACTAAGTAAGCAACTGCCCCTTCCTTCTCTCGCTTCTCCTAAGCCTACACTGCAGCCCAGTAACCAGAGCATGTGAACATATCGGAAAGATCTCATCCTACTAAGGGAGGAAAAAGTAAAACAATTACAATACCAACCCGCTGGCCACCAACATGTCTATTTAAAAAAAAAGTTATGAGCGTAACACTTACTATGTATTAAGTCCTACGTGCCATACACAGGGCTCTTCTACAGGCTCGCTTGCTTTTAGCTTGCACAACTACTCATTTTACAGGTAACAAAACTTAAGCTTGGAGTTTAAAGGGTAACCAGTAAGCCGCGGGGGCCAGGCAGGACAAAGCCCCAGCGCTAATACTTCCCAACTCTAAGGAGCTCAGTAATCACCTGGGAGGATTCAGTGAGACCTTCACCAGGTCTTGACTGAGCCCTAAACTGATGCCCTTCTAGGCTGGCAGGTAGATGGACTCGCCTGTGAGTATCCAAGGCTGGGCTTTATATTCCATTAAGGGGCAGCCTGTATCACTGGGTGGGTCCCCAAAGTTTCACACTAGCCCTGCCCCGTAGAACGTACTTAATGACTTATTAAACGAATCTATATCTCAAAGTTTCATACTTCAGCACTTCCCTATATCAAGTCGCATTATGTCATTCCGTCTTCATAACAGACCTATAAGGGAGGGTGATTCTCACTTGACAGACAAGGAAATAGGCTCAAAAGAGTAAGTGACCTAAGCTTTTCATCTTTTGTGCGGCAGACACGACCACAGCTGTCTCGGGGGATGCAAGGAAAAATAGAGACCACCAGATTACCGGTAGGAGGAGAGCTCATCCCAGCACCTGACAAGCTCACAGCTCCAGAGGTCCACCCGGAACTCTCAGCTACTCCGGGGATGGGGAAGCCCTGCCCGGTGCTCCAGGAGGGAAATAAGGAAGAGAAGAGGAAGCCGATTTGGGGCACAGTGCCAGGCGGCAGAAGGCAGCTGGTGAGGTTGAGTCTCCTGACCTCACCATAAGCTCCTCTGATTTCAAGTACCGGGGTGGGTCCAGCTCTGAGGAACCCTGTCCAGCTTGTGGGGGGGAACAGGGATGAGAGGGTTACGGGCGTTCAGGGAAATCGCTGCTAGGTGATGAATCACCAAGCACATGACCCTGCAGGGGAGGGTACAGAGCTCAGCGGGATGAGGCGGGGGCTTAAGGAGAGAGGCCTAGCTCGCGGAGCACCGGGGCGGCCTGGGTTAGGGGAGCTAAGGGAAGCCCCTCTCCCACACCACTCCTCCCGGCGGCTGATCCCAGCAGCGCCCGGCCCGCCAGATCCCCAGGTTCTGCAAACTCACGGCCTTCAGCTGCTCCAGCCGGTCCTTCATCCTGGCCCAAGTGCGGGCGGCGGCGAGCACCGCGTCCCAGGTGAGCGCGTCCCAGGTGAGCTGCCTGCAGCGGCAGCGGGTGCCGGCCGGGGCGAGGGAGCTGCTAGCGCAGGCGGAGGCGGGCGGCGGCCGTTCACGAGGAGGAGCGTCCGAGGCCACCGAGGTCCGCCGCGCCGCCCCCTCCGGCCCCCGCCGGCGCCGCGCTCCAAATCCGGCTCCCGGACCAGCGCCGGCTCAGCGCCCGCCCGCCCCTCGACCCGCCCCGTACCTGGGCCGCGCCCCGCGCTCCTGCTTAAAGGGCCCGCGCACGCGCTCCAGCGCCACCCGGTGCGTCCTGGCATCCCAAGAAGCAGAAGCCTTCGCGGGGGTCCCCAGCACCGCAGGGCAGAGAAAAAGAGAAGAGATCTGCCTGGCTTCGACTCCATATTTTCCGTACTGCCCTCCGCGGACTCGTCCCGTTAAAGACAAGCTGGTTCCTGCTCCCTTTGATTGGGGGTTGGGGGTAATGTTCTGATGATGCCCAAGAGATATTCCGCCTCAAAGAAGGAATCTACGACGTACAGAACTGCGCGGTTCTTAGAGACCTGTTGCAGAGAACATAACTGGAGAAGAGACGCAGTGGATTCGGCTGCGGCGAGGAATTTGGGGGGTTATGCAGCTGGTAGCCACGGTGCCTCTCGGAGACGTGTAGGCGATTCCGTCACTTTTTACTAACAATTGAAATAACTGTTAGGGAAATCCTGTTCCTCAAGAGGATTCCGTTTCCGTAGCCATAAATCAGAAACCACTTAGCAGTTTGCTGCGAAGCCTGTGTGAGGAAAGAAGCCACTGACTTGTAACTACAGGGCAGGGTTGTAGGAGAGAGACGTCTGGTTTGGAAAACTTAAGCCCCACACATCCCCTAGCTGTTAAAGAGCCTCGGCATTTGAAGAATTTTTGGAAAAGTGTGGTTCCTCTCACTGTCCTTCCCTCTTCAACCGTGCCCCTACCCCCGTGTCCTCCCTATTTGGTTGTGGGTAACAAATGGCATTTCAAGCGGGGTGGTGGTCAACAATTGGAGCCAGCGAAGACTTAGGTCTCAAGTTCGGAAAGGATCTTGCGCTTTGCGTTCAGTTTTAAAGGTCCTAGATACTTTCTTAATTCCAACCGGACTTTGCCCTCTGAGATGTGCACTCTCTCCTACTGACTTCCTCCGCTGCCATAAAGATCATCAAGCAAGGCAGGGCTTGGGCTGTATGAGCCAGCCCTGTGGTTCTCAACTCTGATCCCTTTTCTCACCTCCTGCCACTGTGCCACACGCGGACTGCGAAGACCTCCACGCCCCCTGGTGGTCGTAAACCCTAAGGCTGCGTACACTTGCTAAACATTCCACCTCTGAGCTCATTCTCTAGCACCAGCTCTTTTGTTTTACTTTCAGACAGACTCTTCCTAAATTGCCCAGGCAAGCTTTGAACTTGCCATTCTCCTGTTTCAACCTCTCCAGTAAGAGGGATTACACTGAAACACTCTTAAAGTGTAGACATTTGAAGTCTGGGCAGAAGTGTAGCGGTGAGGAAGGAATAAGGATTCATTTTGAAGAGTTTACCAAGGATTCCTGCTAAGACATAATTGCTTTCAGACTGCAGAGATGGCTCAGCGGTTAAGAGCACTGACTGGAGGATCTGGATTCAATTCCCAGCATCCGCATGACTCTCAACAGCCTATAACTCCAGTTCTAGGGGATGCAACGCCCTCTTCTGGCCTCTACAGGCACTGCACACGTGGTGTACAGATAGATACAGGCAAAAAACACTCATACAAGTAATATTTTTTTAAAGTCTCAAAAAATTATTTTTAAAAACATAATTGATTTTAACAGGGTAAAATTGTGGCTCTCATGAAAATATAAAATGAATATATTTCAATTTTTTAGCTTATTAATAAAGCAACCAGTAAGGAGTGTTTGTCAGATCCACAGACAAACAGCAGGAACGCTGGTATGAATAGGTTACTCAGTGCAAAACTGGCTTGGGGGAGAGGGTAAGAGAGCCTGTGCAAAACTAGCTTTGGGGAGGTGGGAGAGCTTGCACTTCTCCTGCAGACAAAGTTCTTTTCATCTCCATGGAGAGAAGCACTTTCGTTACTACCCATTGTCTCCAATTTACACAGTTGGACAATAACTGTAAGACGATGAAAAGCACCGACCATTCTATAGTCAGAAGAGTGCATTAGATAAGGCCACCATAGGACACATAGCATGGGACAGCTTTTTGTTGGTGGTGGCGGTCATTGGTCATTTTAATTTGCTCAATTTTTCTGTATACTCCCAAGGTAGCACCTTCAATGACTGGATGGTACTAACTGTTAAAAAGTTATTATACAAAACAAACGTTTTCTTCCCTATAATGTCCACCATTATTCTTGCCTGTATCCAGACACTTAAAAAAAAAAATCAGAGCTTATGAGATATCTCTCAGTCAGTTAAGAAAGAAAGAAAGAGAAAAAGAAAGAAAGAGAGAGAGAGAGAGAGAGAGAGAGAGAGAGAGAGAAAGAAAGAAAGAAAGAAAGAAAGAAAGAAAGAAAGAAAGAAAGAAGGAAAGAAGGAAAGAAAGAAGGAAAAGAAAGAAAGAAAGAAAGAGAAAAGTGCTTGCTACACAAATGTGAGAACTTGGGTTCAATCCTCTGAACCACTTTTTTTTTTTTTTAAATCAAGTACAGTGACATATACTGTCACTGTGTGGTAGAGACAGGCAGATCCACTGGCCAGCCAGACTTACCTACTTGGTGAGCTCCAGGTCAGTGAAAGAGCCTGTCTCAAAAACAACGTGGACAGCTCCTGAGGAATGACGATCAAGGTTGTCTCCCAACCTGCACACACCTTTACACTCACACACAGTTTTATCATTGCTGTCTTTATTTGTCAAGCGTCATTTCCAGTGCCAGTGTGCTTCTTTATACATTACTCTTGCTTTTTTTTTTCCTTAAACAGGAACTCATGTACCTCAAGATAATCTCAAACATTCTGTGTAACCAAACATGACCTTAGATTTCTGATCCTTTTGCACCCAACTCCCCAGTGCTAGGATTATAGACACATGCTACTAATCCCTGTTCATGCCAGTCTGGGGCTCAAACCCAGGACTTCAGGCATGCTAGGCAAGCATTCTATCAACTGAGCTACATCTCCAGAACAAGAAAGTCAGTCTCTCCTTCACATAATAGTTTTTCATTGGTGGGGCCATTGTTATAAACTAACAGAACAATTGTTGGACACATAACTAAGAGGTCTGAATTTAAATGACTCTATTCACTGGGTATATTAACCACACTTATGGATAAGCCCCATGTCCAGCAGTAGACTGCCAATACAAAACATACTCAATGATATATGGCATTTTTTGAAGACTTTGTGTCTCATATTGCTTTGTTTAGACATTTTTGTCTTACTGGTCTTTTGCTTGTATATTATGGTTTCCGATTTTGTGTTTTTACGGTGTGTGTGTGTGTGTGTGTGTGTGTGTGTGTGTGTGTGTGTGTGTGCGCGCGCGCGCGCGCGCGCGTTTCTTGTGTTTTTTTTTTCTTTTTTCCTTTTTTAAAATTCTGGTCTGTTTGTTGTTTGCCTGGTTGTTTTCTAAAAAGAGAAAGAAAGAAATGGCATGGAGTTGGGGAGGTGGGGAGGTAGGAAGAATGGGGAGGAGTTGGGGGAGAGGAAATCATGATCAAAATATATTGTGTGAAAAATTTTTCAATTAAAAAAAATATGACTCCCCCTCACCCCTTGCCACCTACTGTAGGCAGGAAACTGGTCCTGGGGATCACGAGAGTGGAGAGCTGACCCTGCTCCTCACCGGCTGCAGCACTCAGGACAGTGATCCTTGCACTTTGCCTGGGCAGCACAATAGTGCTGACCTTGTTGGGGGGAGGGGCACGGGTGATCTGGTCCCACCCCTCATCTGCCCTATGGTGGAGTGAGCAAGGAGAGATGCCCTCCTGCATCTCCTTCCCCTCACTGCCTGTGGTGGGTGGGAGAGCTGGCTCTGAGGTCAGGAGAGTGAGAGAGCTGGTCCTGCCCCTTACCAGCTGCAGCACTCTGGAGAGCAGGCCCTGCACTTTGCCTGGGCAACACAGTAGAGCTGACACTGTCGACAGGGTGCAGGTGACCCGGCTCTGAGGGTGTGAGACCAAGAGATCTGACCCAACGTGTCCCCCCCCCCCATTGGCGTGAGTGGTAGGGCAGGAGTGAGAGAAAGATGCCCTCCCTGCTCACTCATCCCCACCCTCCTCTTGCCATCGACTAGGTTGGAGAGCTGGCCCTACACCTCACCAATTGCAACACTCAGGAGAACGTGCCCTGCACCTCCCCTGGACAAAACAGTAGAGCTGGTCCTGGCCATATAGGTGCAGGTGAGCTGGTCCAAAGGCATGAGATCAGGAAAACTGGACCTGCTCCTTGCTGCAGTGGGTGAGCTAGCCAGGACAGTGCTGGAGAACCCACCCTGGTGGTGACAATGAGGGAAAGCCGGTAGGCTGACCAGCCCAGCTAACACCCAGGTACAGAACCAGGGCTATGAGTTAGCCCACCCCAACATCCACCTCAACTATGAACTGCTGGAACATGTGAAGGGGCCAGACCTGCAGATCCGAAACTGCAGGATCCCCATGACACAACGAAACAAGATATCCAAGAGGAGTCCCAGTGAGGGCCCAGTATCAAGGATATATAAGAAGCCAGAGGCCTCGAACCAGAGTAACAAACACTTGGAAGTAAAGATCTATGCACTAAAGGGTATACTGTGTGACTGACTCACTGGGTCACACTACACCTTTCATGCCAAATCTTTATTTTATTTTATTTTATTTTTGGTTGGTTGGTTTTGGTTTTGGCTTGGGGTTTTTAGTTTTCTTTTAAATTTTATTTTATTTTGGGGGGAAGTTCAAAGGACAGAGGGTGGATGTGAAGGGTCAGGGGGGTGAATGGGATCGGGATGCATGATATGAAATCCACAAAGAATCAATTAAATGTTTTTTTAAAACTGATTCTACCACAAAATGTGTGTCACCTGTAATTACAATTTAGTTTTTTTTTTTCTGTCTATCTAATATGACCAAAACTGGTGATGCTCAAACTTTACAAAGTCAAAATATCATGTTTGTTATTGTTATTCGTGGGTCTCCTCTTTCAAAAGATCCCATATCCCTACACCGTATATTTGCTAGCGGGCCAGCAAGGTGACTCGTCAGGTTAAGGCACTTTCTGCCAAGCCTGATGACCTAAATTTAGTCTCCAGGGTCCCCATGGTGGAAGGGGAAAAGTAAGGGACTCCCGAAGTCATCCTCTGACCTCCACCCTCAAGCAGTGCCATGAATACACGACACACACACACACACACACACACACACACACACACACACACACACACACAGAGTTAATTAATTTTTAATATAGATATATATTTGCTAGATAATAAAAACTTGGTTGGTGTGAGGATTTTGATTCTCTTGTGCTTATTGAGCTGAGGACAACAGTTTCTTGCTGGTCTTGCTGGAGGTGTCCCTCTGTCCTCTTCCGTGTTGTCCTTGTTTTATAAGAAAGCTCACAGCATGGCAGCTGACTTCTATCACAAGAAAAAGGAGAGGATGGCAGAGGGGGGAAGATCAAACCTGAGGTGTTTTTGTAACTGGACTCCCTGACAATTCCATCACCCTTGCAATATTCTGTTCTTAGAAGTCAGGTAATCTTTTCAACACGTAGCACTAAGTGCATTTAAAAAAATGGAGTAATCTCAAGCTAGTTACTTAGCAGCATGCCTGAAAACTCCAGAACATACACCCAAAAGGAGTAGGTGGCAAGAAATAATCAAAGTCAGGATTGAAATCAACACAACAGAAACAAACAAAAAATACAAAGAATAAATGAAACGAAGAGTTAGTTCTTTGAGAAAAATCAATAAATCGGCAAACCCTTGTCTAAATTAAATAAAAGGAAGAAAGAAAATGTTCAAATTAACAAAATTTGAAATGAAAAGGGAAACATAACAACAGGCACTGAGGAAATCTAGGGACTCATAAGGACATACTTTAAAAACCTGCACTCCACCAAATTGGAAATTCTAAAAGAAATAGATAATTTCCTCAATAGGTACCATATGCCAACTTAAATCATGATCAGATCAATGATTTAAACAGACCTATAACCCCCAATGAAACAGAAGCATTAATTAAAAGTCTCCAAACCAGTGGCTTCAAGCGGGATGGTGCGGACTTCAGGCTATTTGAAAAGTTTTACACAAACATGGATATCAGACCAAATCACACTATTTATATCAACAATATGAATGATAAAATTAAAAAAGAAGAGTTGAAGAGATCCTTGTATGCCCTGTTTTCTCAGTTTGGACACGTGGTAGATATTGTGGCTTTAAAGACCATGAAGATGAGGGGTCAAGCTTTTGTTATATTTAAGCAACTGGGCTCATCCACAAATGCTCTGAGACAGTTACAAGGATTTCCATTTTATGGTAAACCAATGCGAATTCAATATGCAAAAACAGATTCTGACATAATATCTAAAATGCGTGGCACTTTTGCTGACAAGGAAAAGAAGAAAGCTAAAACCATGGAACTGGCTACAGCAGCTGCAAACAAAAAGCCTGGCCAGGGAACACCAAATTCAGCTAATACTCAAGGAAACTCAGTGCGAAATCCTCAGGTCCCTGATTACCCTCCAAACTAAATCCTGTTCCTTAATAACTTACCAGAAGACACGAATGAGATGATGTTATCCATGCTGTTCAATCAGTTCCCTGGTTTCAATGAAGTTCGCCTGGGAGGCATGACATTGCATTTGTAGAATTTGAAAATGATGGACAGGCTGGAGCTGCCAGAGATGCTTTGCAAGTGTTTAAAATCACACCATCCCATGCCATGAAGATTACCTATGCCAAGAAATAACATTTGGAATAGCCAGTTTTAAATGACTTGGTATTATTTATAATGTTCGTTTTGATTACATTTGGTCAAATCATTTTAATGGTTGGAAGTGAAAGTGAAGTTTTGGGGAGAGAGTCACCTAATTTTTTTTTTTAGTTTGGGTGAACTGTGAAATCTAAAGCCTTAATTTTGTACAATAAACCTTTATTTGTATTCTGTGTACTTAAAAAAAAAGTCTCCAAACCAAAAAACAAGCCCAGGGCCAGATGGTTTGAGTGCAGAATTCTAACAGACTTTCAAAGAAGAGTTAATGCCAATACCCCTCAAATTATTCTAAAAACAGAAACAGAAGAAACATTGCCCTATTTGTTTTATGAGGCCACAGTTACCCATAAAGACATAAAAAGAGAATTACAGACCAATTTCTTTTATGAGCATAGATGCAAAATTTCTCAATAAAATACTTGCAAACTGAATCCAAGAGCACATCCAAAAATAATCCACCATAATTAAGTAGACTTGATCCCCGAGA